AAAAAACTTTACGTCAGCTTTACATTTACATTACTGCCTGACTGAATATTCTCTTGACTACATCACCCCCCCTGCATGCCACCCTTCCTTCCCCACATGTCTTGTTATCATCTTGTTGCTTGCTGTTCAAAAACACCAGCAAATAATGCAAAGTGACAACAGCAACTGGGGCTTTTTATTCCTATGGGTTTTGAGATTAAGCTCTCGGGATGTCATCCAGACCAGTGAAAACAATCTTCTTTACTAGAGGGGAAGGAGAAAAGAAAGAAAACGCTGACACTGTTGGAATGAAAAAGCGTTAAAAGAAGGAGTCTTTTTATGTGTGTGTGTGTCTCTGTGTGTTCCTCACATATCTCTGCAACAGTTCATCTGATCGACTTTAAACTCCACTGCTAGTAACAAGACTGCATTATGGAACTGTAGGTCATTCTGGGGGTTCTTGTTGATGTTAGACTTAAGGTCACAGTGATCATTAGGGATGGTCATAGCCATTAAATTATACAATGAAAATGTAGTTGTTTACTTTTTCCACTGTTTTTTCTGGTTTGTGTGTTTGCAGCACCTCTTTTAGACCACTTTTACCAAGTGACAGCCAGAGACGTCTAGCAAATACTCGCTAACTGGTAGGGAAATACACATTTTCCACTACTTAATTAATAAAGATGCTGAAAAGCATGTATGTGTGCACAGGTCTGCCGTATTATAGACAGCATATAAGTCATGTGAAAGCATGGGCAGGTAGGTGATCTTCCAAAAACAGTCAGTTAGCAGTAAAAACTGAGCAGCAATTTTGCTTGCTGCACTGGAATGATGTGAAATGTTCAGCTAACATAAACCACTCGTCTCTACTTTTCATTGGAACAATGCAGTAGTGTTGTTAAGGGGGCATGTTTTTCTATGGAGGTTGAGTGCTCAGTGAGTTATAGAAACAGACTGGTGTGCTACAACTGCTGGAACTGGATTTATGGGGCGACCATGGCACAGGGGGTTGGGAAGCTCATCTGTAACCGGCTCGATCCCCCTGCTCTCTCTGTCCGGGTCGTTGTGTCCTTGGGCAAGACACTTTACCGTACTACCTACTGGTGTTGGCCACAGGGGCCGATTGGGCGATATGGCAGCCTCGCTTCTGTCAGTCTGCCCCAGGGCAGCTGTGGGTACAACTGTAGCTTGCCTCCACCAGTGTGTGAATGTGAGAGTGAATGAATAGTGGAATTGTGCCTAGAAAAGCGCTATATAAATGCAATCCATTATGATATGGCACATTAACAGTGTGGGTGCATCAAATTCCTGCTCCCATGAGGCCACTGGAGCTAAATGCACCCAATAAAGACAATGACAGCAATTCCACCAAATGACAGAAGCTGAGTCAACATGCAGTGGTGGTTAAATGCTTGTGAAATGATCATCGTGCGATTTGAAGTTGAGCAAATGGGGGAACAAAACTGTGTCTGTGACTTGAGGTCACAAATACACAGTGGGGCCTAGTCAAAAATGCACATTTTCTTATCTACCTCTGCTGATGCTAACATCCAGATGAAAGCAACACTGCACTTGGTTCGTTGTTGCAAAGCATCAGACTAAAGCTGCTAGCGAGAAACATAAAACACATTGTAAGAGCTGAGATGCTTGGTTGTGCCCAGAGCGGCTGGTGTGTTGGCGGGGGTAAATGGAGAATGATGGTCAGCACAGAAATAATCTCCATGATTCTCCTCCTGATTGCCTCACGTCTGAATTCCCTGTGCCATGTCTTTTCCTGATCCACTAATCGATACCTACACACCCCCCACCCCCAAAGTCTTCCCACTAGCTGACAGCAGCCATGCCTCTTCCAGCCCATTACATGCTGTAATTGTTTCTTTATTTTCCTCCCGCCGTACTGGCAGTGTTACCACAGTGTGGCCTTATGTCACCCTCTGGACCCACAGAGAGCATAAGCCCGGATCAATTGGCTTCCCCACAAAAGTCCCAACATTCTTTTATGGCTAACACGTTATTCACAAGTCACATGTCACGGTAACTCTACCTTTTGCCACACAAAGCACACATGTAAAGGTCAGCTGTCAGAAGGAGGGCGAGAGTCAACAAACCCTGGCATCTAATGTTACGAGACATGACTTTAACATCCTTTTATTAGACTGACTGCGGGTATTGTCCCGAATTATAAACCAAGGGGAAATTTTACTATCAAACAATCCTGATGTTAACAGTGAGTTTAATTTACTGCTCAATATACTCCAATGAAGTTGCATGCATGCTAAAACCACACCGTATAACCATACTTCTATGTTTAAGCTGATAGTGTAATGCAGTTAATGCTGCGTTCCGTTCTTTTGACATTTTTATAGTTTTACCGCTCTAAGGACTTCAGACTATAAGATAGAATGCAAATGTTGAGGCAAATGAGAACAATCTACACACCAGAAAAGCTGAAAGCAGGTGTTTTTATTTATTTCTTTTCTCTATTTTGTTTCTGTCCACCTGATGAATGAAGTTTGACTGCCTGTGAGCGCTGGATGTTGGGAGACTCTTGCTCCTTCAGTTCAGGTTACTGCTACACAGGTTACTCAGGTTACTTGCTGGAATTAGTTTCAGTGCAAGTGAAAGAGTTGCGATCTGGCGGAGAGGTGGTTGTTAAAAGGGGCTTGCAACAAAACAATTATTGTCTGGGTATGGTGGTAGTGGAAGGAGAGGTGTGATTTTTGGTGAACTGTGCTCTGTATCAGCAAGCAGGCAAGAATATTCCCTGGTTTTTTTACCTTGTCCCTGAAAACACCTGCTTACATAGACTGTTAGAAAGGCTCTACAGAGATAACTCGAACAACGTAGTTGGTAAAACTGGTCACTACAAGCAATACCTGTGTATCAACCAATTCACTGTTAATTTAAAAACGTCTTTTTCTTTCAGCTTTAAGGTTGAAAGCAAATTAGGCTTACAGATTGTTGAGACTTTATATAAAAAACAGACGTAGCCACTGTAATGTTGCCTGCTGGTTCTTGATAGCTGCTGCCATTGTACTGTTTTTTTCAGCGTGAGAAGTGACCATATCCAGATAAAGTACATGAGTACAACAGATACCTGTTTCTATATTCACAAATAACATAGCGCAGAAATGCTTTGAGTGCATTCTTCTAAGACGGTTATTACTGCAATGAACTACACAGAAAGACTAATTGTTTTTGAAATCCTCATGAAAGGGGCAGCATGGTGACCCTTAGCACTGTTGCCTCACAACAACAAGGTCCTGAGTTCAATTCCACCATCAGGCTGTGGTCTTTCTGTGTGGAATTTGCATGTTCTCCCCGTGTTTACATGGGTTCTCTCCGGTGCTCCAGCTTCCTCCCACATTCCAAAGACATGCAGTTAGTGGGGACAGGTTAATTGGAAACTCTAAATTGCCCATAGGTGTGAATGTGAGTGACTGTGACTGTCTCTATGTGTTAGCCCTGCGACAGACTGGCGACCTCTCCAGGGCATACCTCGCCTCTGTCCTAAAAGGCGCCAACACAACAAAGAAAGATAAGAAATGTTTTTTTGCAACTCGAAAAACATGAGACAGAGCAGGAATATGCCAATAATAATGCAATTACAAAATAAGTCTATTTACCAAGAATGAATCTTGGTAAATAAAGCATTAATTATATATTTTTTTATCCAGCTGTAAAGTTATGCATTTTAACACTAGAGTATATCAGTAATGACTCGCTCACAGCCTCAAGTGGCCTGCAATTTTTGTTATTTCTGCATTTGCTTCATTCTGGGATACGCAGGCTGTTGTGCGGTTGAGATTTATGCATTGGTTGTATTAGCTCGTTAAAAAGCAGATGGCTTCTGTGAGGGATGAACCAGAACTCAAGGAACAGGAATTTCCTCCTGTCACCTTAGCACTGAAGACATTTTTTCACCAGGTGTCTACACGCATCTGTTGGAAGTGAAGTTGCGTGGATAAACGAATTATATTTAACCATGTAAACAACAGAGCAGTATGGTGGGCACACTGTTTGTGTAATTCCTTTATCCTATATACTGATTACAGCTGCAGTGTGGTTCTAATTGGCAGTGTGTCTGAAGTGGAACACACTGTGTTTTTGCTTATTGTATGCTTTTATCTTTGTTAAACAGGTGTGTGGAACCATGAATCTCTTCCAGCATATCTAGCAGAAAATAAATATAGGCATTTATTTCCATCTGCAAGTGTCTTTCATGCTCCATAGATATGAGCTGCTCTGGCAAAAAATTGCCCCTGTTCAGTGGAAACAGCAGAGTGGTGAAATGCATGTGAGATGGATCATCTCAGACAAGCATGATGGAGCCAGTATCTGCTTGGCCATTACTGCTGTAGCTTACGAGAAGTGAGAAAGGTGATCAGTGGGTGGAAACTGGTCCTATTCTCCTACTAATTCACGCAAAAGAATGGGCCACTGGTATTTAGGGCACTCTGATTTCAGTCCCCAATGCTTGAGGTCATCAGTACATAGACTACATAATGTGTGTTTTCTTTGGTTTATCTGCTAGGTCAACACATCTCTGCTTCACTATCATTCATAATCTACTGTAGCAGGGTTTGCACTGCCTTTTATTGCTGATAAAATTAAATAACAAGAAGCACTCAGAGCCAACCTCTGCCAAGGCAGCTCACTTTCTGGACACTGTTTACTTTTAATGGAATGATGCTGTAATTTTTTATATATATCAACCACCAACAGCCAGATGCATCTTATACAAACTCCTGGAAGTTTCTGTTGTGATTTGGCTACCCTTTTAATGCCTGCTTATCAAATATTAATGGTGTCATCAATGAAGTGTACTACACAAACAAGGAGATTATCTACTAATTGGAAAATTGTCTCTCAAAGGCCTGCTACATTTTGTAGACTGCAACTGTTTTAAGCAAAATACGATTAATAGGAAGTGGAATGGCTCTCTGCATGTTGCCTATGGCCCAGGTGAGATTGCAATGCGCTGCACTGTGCTTGAAGGACATTCTCCCTGCAGCTCTCACCTCCCATTTGCTGTCCTGGGTTCTCCTCTTGAGCTGGATGTTCCAGTTCTCAGCGTCCACCTCTGCACAGTGGGCGATGGTCATGGCCACCGGGCAGAAGAGATCCAGGCCAGGAGGTCCGTATGTTACTTCTGGGCCCAGGAGGATTTCACAGCTGTCCAGTGTTTGGACACTAAAAACACACAGAGAGTAAATGCAAATCTTATTAGGTGATACGAGGAAATAAGTTACAGTACTGCAGACAACAGACACTGCCTGTGTTCACACGTGGAGACACGTCAGCAGAATGGATGCCTCGGCTCTCGTATAATTGTACCTTTTGATGCCTGGACTCGCTGTGCATCATAAATGCATTTACTGCAGCTATGAGCTGCTTGCACAGCTGTCTTTGAAGCAATCTGTGCAACAAAATGCCTTTTTGCAAGACTGAAAAACAGCTGGTAGCAAGGTGAAATGCTCCATTCACTTCTTTACCTATATTTTTTGAAGCTCCATATTTATGATGGGGCAGCTTCACTGCTATCCACTGCTTTCCATTATATTTGAAAGCATTGTTAAGACTCCTTGCTGTGCTCTTTATGACTGTCCATATTTAACACATTCTATTTAGTAGAGCCATCATATGTACATAACATCTCTCTTTGCACTTGTGCTTCTGCTGCTGCAAGCGAACCAACAAATTAATGAGCTCACGAAAAGAGGTGGACTGCCAACAAAACATGCCTCCAGGCAGGTACTTCCAAGTTTGAATGGCCATGAGTGAAAATGCTGAACCCTTGCTCCCCAAGTTCAAGTTATTGCCACACAGCCAGGCTGCTGGAATTAGTTCAAGCACAGGTGAAAAACTCTTGCCGGCGACTTGGAGTTCGCTCATTAAAAGCAGCTTACAACAAACAGGTCCTGCCAGTGGACGGTGGCGGCAGCAGCAACTCTGGTTGAGCTTCTGAGAAAGAGGGCAGGCAGATCATGACACAGGAGAGGAACACCTCAACAAAGCTCTTTAATCAGTCATCAGGTCAGAGATATGAGAGGCTTGGTTTGTTAGGACTTCTTCCTTTGAATGAGGCATACACTAAAGCAGTAGCTTTAGTGTATGAGACACCTCTACAGCGCAGAGGAATGCCTAATGTTGTGTTAGTGCCATTAATTTACAATGACTTGTGTCTTAGATTAGTATTTTTCACCATCATTTTCTGATATCACGCTTGTAATACATCGCAGTTTGACATTTCTTCCACTATAACGAATTACAGTGAAGGAAGGAAGACATTCACTAGCGACTACAGCTAGAAATCCACAACACAGCAACAGATTGACTCAGCAGTTCATAATTCAAGAAATTGACAGTTTATTTACACAACTGGCATCTATTTTTGTACTAAAGTAGAGGGTTTCCTTTGTTTGTACCAGTACTTTGTAGATAACTTGATTGGATTTTTTCTATCTAGCTTTATATAAAACTTTCACCTATTACAGAAATAGAATAGAAAATCTATATCAAAAGAATAGATTTTAATTTAAAAGGTGACATGAACTATCCCTGTTTAACACTAGCCACACCCCTAAGTACTTCACCAGCACCCTGATGAATACATTAAAACAACAAAAAGAATGCACTACTAACTACTAGGCATCAGGCTGGTAATGTGTGTGTCACAAACAGGAGAAGTGTGCAAATCCAAAGATTTGAACAGCAGTCAGAAAATAATCTGGTCAGAAAACCCAGTGCAAACCCCTCAAAATAAAGCTAAGATTAGGGATATTTAGGGGCACCTCACTATGTATATTAGTAAGTAAGTAAAATTTATTTATATAGTGCTTTTCGCAGATAAAAATCACAAAGTGCTTTACAACAAAGAAAAAGAAAAATGAAAAGAATGAAATACAACAAATAACAACGTAAAACAGTAAAATACAACATAAAAACAACAAATTAATTAAAAGCTTACCTATATAAAAATGTCTTCAGCTGCTTTTTAAAAGAATCAATGGAGTCTGTACAGCGTAAAACCAGTGGGAGAGAATTCCACAACCTTGGTGCCACTGCCTGAAAGGCACGACCACCACGAGTTTTAAATCGAGTGCGTGGGGCCAACACCAGTCTCTGACATGATGACCTTTGAGCTCGGGAAGAGGAATGCCGTTTCAGCAGGTCAGAGATGTACTGGGGAGCTTGACCATGTAGGGCCCTAAAGGTTAAAACTTAAATTTTAAAATTAAACCTAAAATTTACAGGCAACCACTGAAGGAAGGCCAAAACTGGAGTGATATGAGATCCTCTCCTGTTAAGAGTCGTGCTGCAGCATTCTGCACAGTCTGAAGACGATTTAAAGCTGATTTGTTAAAACAAGTAAAAAGACCATTACAGTAGTCGCAATGTGAAGAAATAAAAGCATGAATAATCATCTCAAGTTCAGGCTTTGACACCATTAGTCTGAGTTTTGAAATATTTCTTAAATGATAAAAACAATTCTGGACCAGCCGTTTGGAATGTCACTCGAGCAACATCGAGCTGTCAAATATGACGCGAGGTTTTTAAGGCTCGATTTTACATAAGGGTCTAAGAAGCTGATATGCTGCCCTATTTCTGGAATCATATGGTCAGGAGCAATAATTAAAGTTTCTGTGTTATCAGATCATATTATACATTATATAATATAATATATACCTATTATACATTTCTAACAATATTTCTAACAATTGTATATTAAGAATTATTTTTATAGCATTAAAATAAATGACACAGTGAACAAAAAAATCAATCTGAAACTCTCCTTTCCCCCCCCAACTGGTCACGGCAGATGGCCCCGCCCCTCCCTGAGCGTGGTTCTGCCGGAGGTTTCTTCCTGTTAAAAGGAAGTTTTTCATTTCCACTGTCACCAATATGCTTGCTCATAGGGGGTCGTATGGCTGTTGGGGTTTTCTCAGTTTTTTGTGTTGTAGGGTTACAACACAAAAAAATATCAAGTTAGGAAAAAAGATCTGATAGATAACCTCAAGCAAGCCCATACAAACACTAAGCAATAATAATCAATAAATCATTCCTAAAGATGAAATCTATTCACAGGTAATGTTAGCTCTTAATTCAGAGTTTTTGGACCATCAAATTATTACGCAACCATTCGTATGCCTTCTTAAAGTGCGTTAAGTGATTCAGACAACATCAACTTTTTCAACTTTAACCTTGATAAATGTCACTTAAACTTAAGCAAAACCAACATACACATGTACATGCACACTATTTCTTAACAGTCAATTTTATGATTAGGTCTATATTTCACTATCAATCATTCGCTCTACATTTTTTTAAAATCAGCCAATCACACCTATTGAAAGGATTAGCCCAGCAAAATGTCTCAACATAGCCTCACAAAGCTAAAACTTTCAGTCTGCTACGTGCTCACAGCTGTTCTGACACTTTTCCTAAATCACACTGAAACTCCTTTTTTTCTCAGAATGTTTGTGGATATGAGCCTTGCAGTGGAGTGCCGGGGGAACAAGATGCAAGCACATTTTGTTAAGCTCTGCTTTGACCGCTGCTTTTTTTTCACAGGGTCATAAACATGTTTGACAGCGAGGCTTGGTGCTTTTATGCCTGTTTGTCTGATGACCCCCTTTCAGTGTGCTGCTCCCAGAAAGCAGAGTTCATACTGAGATTAAAAGTTGGCGCCTGGCATTGAGTGACTGGTTCCTCTTTGTGTTCTGTATGGTTTGATCTCATTTAATATTTCTTTTAGCATTCATCCGGCAACCTGCTGAGACTTCCTGTCAAGAATAATGTTTATGTGCTACATAATTATTTGCTGAATTAAGCAATAGCGGCAGAACTTTCGCAAAGTTCACGGTCCTTTCCTTCTAAGCATTGCTGTGGGAAATTAGCTGTCCATAAAAGTGATATCAAACACAAACACTGCTACACTTCCGATATGACGAGCTGTCAGATTTGGTTGGATGAGTGTGTAAACAAGCTGGCAAGGTCAGCTTCAACAAATATATTTGGAGAAAACTTGTGTGCACTCACTTAAAGCAACCACAGTACCTGAAGCTCCCTTTTGATAAATAACATATATTAGTTTTATATTACAGGATTTAGTCCAAACTTTTACTTTTGCACCTTAATAAAGACTGATTTGAATGTGATATTCATGTATTGTACACACACAGGAGTGAAAATCTTTGTCCTGCAGAAATAACTTTTGTATTTATTAGCCATTTGTATTTATTCTGATTCCACTTCCACTGAAAATACGACTGAACTTTGTTAGTCTTACAACATTTGCATAAATCTGATACTTTTTTCCAATGCAGATTTTGCATTTTAAGATTTAAACAGGCAGATTGATGCCAATGATTTTTGAGCTATGAGTCTTTTTGCATAATCATCTGAGCCAGTGGTTCACAAACCTGTAATCTAACATATGCGAGGCGCAGATGCTTCTGTTTTAATTGTGTTATCTTTAATTTTTTAGATACTGACAGCTGAAGACAGACTGGAAGGTAGAGACAGGGAAGGAGCAACAAACAGCAAAAACTTACTGTAAAGGTGCTGGTATGGTAATACATACGCACAGTTTCAGAAATTAATACCTTATATTGTTGGATCGTTTCATTAATATTGCAGCTGGAGATGATTGAAAGATTGAATTTAATTACTTACTACTGGAAAGCATAAATCTACAATAAACTTGTAGATTTAGATTTTATTATCTGCAAAAGAAGAACTGACTATAGCTTTAAACTAAAGGTGTAATATTTGCATCCAAAATATTGTGGAGCAGAAGTATAAAGTTGTATGACATAGATACACACTTGTCAAAAAACACATTCTCATGATCTCAAAGGAAAAAAAACAATATATCTGTCTATACTGGGTAATATGCTACGGATGAAAGGATGCCTCATCGCTTCATGAAAATGAAAATGATCAACCCACAGAGGACTGACTTCAAAGACACACAAAAATCAAAGACAAAAAAAAGTCAAAGGTATCTATTCCTTTGTCCTCCAGGAACTGTTTGCTTACTCTCACCATATGAGGCTGGACAGTCATGCACCAGGAGGAAGCCAGGACCCACTGCACCAGTGTTGGGTCTGACAGTGGGTCCAAGGATCTCATCCCTAAACTTAATGGCATTCAGGGTGCCGTTGCCTAGCCTGTAGAGGTCTGTGTGT